TGGCAACCATCACTAGATCCATATCTGGTGTTATCTGGATGCCTGGAGGAGTGTGAGATGAGGCAGAGGCCTCATGGTCCCAGTCTCCCATTTCTTTCTGCCCTAAACAAAAGGAGCCAGTACCTCTACCCATGCAGGTGTGGATTAACAGACTTTGTGACATTAACATAAAAGTGATAAGATTGTCTATAGTCATCCCCACACGCATGTATGCCCCGGTGATGTAATGTAAAAGTTTGAGTATAAATATCACCCCAATTTCAGCCCAAGAATGGGGACTGGATGAACTCGGAACCACACCGATGACTGGACAGATTGGCGAATTCGCTCCCTCTCCATCCCCCCAACTCAGGACACCTTGTGGGTAAGATTATTTGCCTCAGCTAACGCTGAGTGATATATTTCCTCCTCAGGTTCATTCTCCCTGAGTGTATTTGATACTTTCCTCCTCAGGTTCATACGCCAAGTGCATTGGATATTTTCCTCTTCAGGTTCATGCCTCCCTGAGTGTATTCCACATTTTCCTTCTCAGGTTCATACTCCCTGAGTGTATTTGATATTTCTCCTCAGGTTCATTTCTAGACTTCCCTGAGTGTATTCTTGGTTTTGCTTCACTGTGGGCAAGTTGGTGGTGGTGGTGGTGTTTGTGTGTACAACCTTTAGTGTACCTGCAGCTTTTCAATTTATCACCGGCAATCCAAAAGAACCAGTAATAAACATTACTATTCGTTCCCCGACTTGTGTCTGTCACATATTCAGTGTCAGCCTCACAAGACTGGATCTATTTCCCCATTTTTCACAACAAAAGCAACATCACAGAAAACAGATACTTCGGCAAAGTCCACCATTACATTGCATGCATGTCTTTCACTTTGTGCCATGATATAACAATAAAGGTAGCACTCTTCTCAAAAGGTTTCCAAAAGGAAGAATAAAATCTTTAGGTCTAGGAAAGCAGAGACATGGGCTGAGAGACAGGGAGGTACTAAGTGTAGCCACTATAGCCAAATTTTAAGGAAGACTTAGTTCAAAGGACCAGGTTTCTAGAATAAAGGTTGTATTCCTGATTACAATCAATCTGTCTGCCACCAAGAAAATCACTCGATTGGAAAGCAGTGCACACACTTGGCTAGCACTCAGCTAATGAGGCATCAGCAGGGAAAAAAAATACTTCCAACACCTGGGAAGGAAAGCACTGTCAACACCAAGTGTGGTGCTTTTCCAAGTTCCCAAGCCCAGCACTTTCTAATTAACGTTTCCTGCATGTTTTGTTTTTTCGTGGTGACTGGCTCTATTCTCAGTTTACAAGGACCTGCATGACTGACACATGGGAAAACAGTGGGTGTGATTATCAGCACGTCATGACAATTATGCGAAGTAAACAGTCACTGAATTTATGGCAGCTATGTTCGTATCACATCAAAGGAAACAAGTGTTGCAGATAGCCATGTCAAATTTGTTATCCTGTTATCCACCCTATTGACCTTCTCGAACATCCATTCACTAGATGGTTAGGGCAGGGGCTCCTTATCAGGTCCTGGAGCAGACATGAGCCATTTCTACACAGACATTGCTCCCTGAAGCTGAAAATAGATATCTGCTGGACAGGCCGTCCTTTGGGGACATGGCCTCATCACACCATTAGAAACCATCCCTTGTAAGTATCTCTAGTTTCTCCTGTTGGAAGTGAGAGAGAGGGAAGCAACTGGTTTTGGGAGACACCCTGCATGCCTTTCTTGAACTTCCACAGAAAGTAATTCTTGAGTTCCCTGAGGACCCCACTTCTCCACGCAAACCTGCAAAGGTTTATTACATCCCATTCTCCAATTCATTAACAAAGATGGTGAACAATGGCAGCCCCAGTATCAATTCCTGGAGAATGCTACAGTAATCAGATGCCAGCTGGACTTTGTAGCACAGATCACAGACATACCACTCCAAACCCAGCCCATCAGCTAATTTTCCACTTGCCATGTAAGTCACATATCCAAACCATCTCTCTCCAATTTGGCTACACAATCCTATCAGAAACCACATAAAGAGCCTTGTTAAAGGCAACATTTTCTACATTCCCCATGCCCACAGGATCTGCCAACTCATCATAAAAGGCCAAAAGGTTGGTCAGGTATGATTTACCCTTTGTAAAGCCACACCGACTGTTCCAAATCACCTTAGCCTTACTGTACTTCAGTGGACATGGCTTCAAGGAGAATTGTTCTATAATCTCCCTAAAGAAAGCTGTCAGGCTGTGTGAACAGACTCCTGTAGTAACACAGGTCATCTTCTCGCCTTTGAAAATGAGTGGCATGTCACATTTACCCTTATATACTTACTAATAACCTCATCCATGACACTCTTGGAGTACAAAGGCAAGAAGAATGATGGAAGTGGTAGCTCTTCTTCCTATTGGACACAGAAAGTTTCCTGGAAAAGAAGGAAACAAAGAGATAAACCAGACACCAATAGGATAGGATGTTGCACACACATCCTACAGTTTGCCAGGCTCAGCTGCTCGCTAAGAGCTAAGAGCCAGAAGCTGAGGGAGATACAATGACTTACAAGGCAGAGGCCTCACTAGCCAAGGCCTCATTCCCACAGCACCCAAGCAAGGCAAGCAGGACAGGGATGGTAATCAGGATCAAGCCAGAGTCCAGATCACCAGACAAGCTTGAAGTGATGAAGGAGGACCAAGCTGAAGCCAGGAAGTCAATCTGCAGGCCAGGGTCAGATCCAGTGATGGTAACGAGGGTCAGGCATAGTCATGATTGAGAGGCAGCTTCACAGTGAAACAGAAAGGATGTGGCCAGTTTATTTCAAAGATAGCCACAGCAAAGAAGCATAGGCATAAGCCATCAGGTAAACATGGTCACAGAGCCAAGATTCACTCCTTGGTGTAGCAGAGCCAAGATTCACTCCTCGGTGTAGCAGAGAAAAGATATAGCTGTATCCACTGGGACTCAAAACTGGCATTCTCACTTACTGGGTGCACAGGGTCAGTAGGCAAACTTCTCCAAATATTTAGAATATAATCATCATGGGTCAATGGATTGAATAACTTCCTATTGAAAATAATTCACTTAAGCATTGAAGTCAGCTTCATGTATCATTATGCAGAACAAACCCCAAAATAAATTCTTGACAAGAACTATGTGTTGTTTGTACTGGGTACACTTCAGGCTACAATGAAACTTCCTTAATGTAGGCAGTATAATACAAGTTCCCAGAAAACTGCAAAACAAAACCTTCTCAGAGTTGCCAACATTATTATAAAATTCTCCAGCAGCAACAATCTCCACAGCTTAATGGTTGGGCATCCAGCCATGGAAAAATAAAATTAAAAAAATATCTAAGTTATCAGGACAGCTATACCAGAAAGGAAAGGAACTTAAAACCTCCCAAATAGTTACCTAGCTTGAGAGAAGAAATGTATACGATGGAAGAGGACGACTTCTTTCTCCCACAAAAATCAATTTTTAATTCAGCATACAGACAAAGCTAGGAAATTATAATGTTATGCTCCACTGGGTAACTAAATCCAAGATGCCTACAAACATGCATCTTCAGGAATGGAGGAGTACTAAAAGCTTTTTAAGTGCTCATGAGAATTCATCACTTCCAAACTCCAAGTCAAAAACAGGAAAAAAAAGGAAAAAAAATAAAGATGCTAAAGAGAAAAACATACCTGCTGCGTTTTCTCAAGTACATGACATTAGGAGTTCATTAGAAAAAGCCAGGACTCAAGTCCAGTTCTCACTTCCAACCATGAGACAATTTAAGGAGGAAGATCTGTCACTTATTTTAAAGCTACTTTTCATCTACAGGAGTATCTTTAATGCCTATTCAGCTAACTACAATAAGCACAACTTTCTACTGTTAAACTAAAAAAAAGACAATCCATAGCCTTCAAAAGTTTATTTCAAGTACAAAAATTGTTCAATGAAGTATCTACAGAGATTTTACTTTCTGTATAAAGGTTTCAACAGACAGAATACAGTATCAAGTTTCTGAAAAAATATGATTCAATTCAGAACTCAAAACAATAACAAAAAGGCACTTAAACAAAACGATACCCAGCAACAGATATAACTCTTATGTCAGAGTGAATGTGTAGTCAAACATTATCTAGCACTTTATAAACAAAGAAATTAATAACAGTCTGGTTAAAGTGAGCAACATGGTCCAGACAAGAATGAACTTAAACTCCCTGCACTTTATCAATCACACTTTTCTTTCAAGTGTAAAGAAAGTAGAGCGAGAGAGAGAAAAAAAAAGGAAAAAAGAAGTCTTCAGTCAACTATCAGTTTACAGCACGGTGTTCAGACGAAGAACTAGGATTTCAACTGGTGTAAGTTCCACAAAAAGAAATGTAAGAAAACTGGGTAGCAGCATAAATACCTCACGGCATCCCCTGATGTGTATGTTTGAGGGCTTTATATTTATATTCCCAGTTAAAAAAAAACTAACAACAAAAACAAAAACAAACAACATCAACAAAAAAAACCACAACAACAAAAGCTTCTACAAAAATAGAAAGTCTTACTAGAACACAACAACCAGCCTAGCATAAGTAGAAAATAAAGGTGTAATGCTTGGGGATCCACTGCAATCCTCTTCTAGTACAAATATTTTTCCACTGCCAGCAATGGAAAGTATCACAAGTCAAAGTTTTCCAGAATTCAAAAAGAAAGCAGACTGCGACAGTTTGAGTTCAACTTTTTTTAGTAAAGATTCAACTAACTCCCGTATCTCAAAAAAAAAAAATCAAATATGCCAAAAAGAAACAATACATTTGACAGTGACTTTTTCAGCACAATAAACACAGAATAAGATCTGAATCATTCACAAATATGAGGCAAATAGGAGAAAAAATTGCCAACATGCAAAAAAATTTATTTTTTAACAGCTATTCAGAAATACAAAGTAAACAGGAAAAAGCATTTTTGTGCTAGCATTTTTTCCCCCAGTGATACTGAATAAGATCTATGGTTATAGAAGTGCTTTCAAGGTTTTTGCATCTTTTTTTCCAGATACATTTTCTTGTAGGTCTGAAACATATCTTTTGAGTCTTTGATTGAGGTGTGAAGAGCCTTGCCACCTTCATCCAGCATCCGTATAGCTGTATCAAGTGGAATAGTGTCCTCAGCTGAAAGACAGAGAACCAGGTTAAAACTCAAGTCTCAAGTGATTCTACCCTTATCCATGTGGTCTTTAATTCTACCCACTGTCAAAAAGGATGCCACCAACTTCCTTCCTAAAGCACCAAGCATCTCAGATTTAAATTAATCTTTAACGCATCTTTAAGTACCAAAAGGTCATTTGGATGCCTTTGTAAGAGAGGTTTCTAAAGAATATTAAGAAGGGTGTGAATGATGAAAGTACATTTGTGCAAGTAAGTGAAGAAACAAGAGGAAGGGCTAAGAATGGCAGACACCAATAGCCAAGGACACAAAGGATGTAAACATCACAGAATGTGTTGCTTGCATCATGACCACAACACGGATAACTCCTCAACAGAGGACTTGCACTCTGATAAGAGGAGGATGGCAACCAGGTTACAGCATGCTGAATGCATCATTTTACTCCCCATTAGATCAGAAGGAAAAAAAGACTATAGCTAGAAAGATACCTAAAAAAAAGAAACAAAGACAGCAACCTCACCCAAGATTTACAAAGGACAGAAAAACCAAGATCCCAAACTGAAAAATGCCACTGTAGTAACTGCTGACTTCTAATGGGTACAAAAGACCATACAAAAAGCAATTTGCCAATGAAGAGAAACGAGGAAGATGTAGTAGTGGCAACACTTCTCCTCTGTGTGTCATACCAGTAATCCTGTCCAGACTACAAAGACACACAGGTCTCAGTACTTGTGAGCACAGGTGTATGTGCAGACAATATCAACATATTGTGAAAGGCAAATAATTTTTTTTTAAAAATCACTGTCTGGTTTTAGTCTCACACTAGATTTCTTTACATTACTTCCTGCATTTTAAGGTAAGAAAGAGCTAGCTTCATCCTTACTTACAGTTTAAAACTGTATTTGAATCTTCTCATCAGTGCTACCTCTGATTCAACTGCACACCTGTACGCAGGAAAATTCCAACCACCTTCAACAACATTTTCTTACAGCAATAAAAAACTCCACAAACCTTTGAAACTCACATCTACTCTACAGTAGCTGTAGAGCAGCTGCATAGATAATAAAGAATAAGTTAAAATACTTTATTAAGATTTGTTACAGTAAAGGAACACTTAAAACCAAGCCGAGTATTGAACTTTCAAGACAGATAACAAGAAGCCATTTCACCTGCAGAGATCTCTTCCAGCTTTTTTTGCTTCACTGGATGACATTTTAACCAATCTTCTTTTTTACTCTTGACACCTAAAGAGAAAATTTTAAAAAAATGTTTTTGAGGTTCCTATATCATAAGTTTTGGTCACTATTCAGCAACAACTTTCAACACATATACTAACATATGCAAAAGGAAATTTCCATTGTGTGTGAAAATGACTGCAAGGGCTGGTATGTACAACTTAAGATTTGGCTTGATTAGCACTTGAGACAAATGCTTCACAACATACCATGTAAAATGTCAAGAGGTTGGGGAAAGGGAAGAGGAAAAAAGGCAGCTTAAAGCCGAGATGGCAAAAATTACCAAGACCACATGCAGGATAGGTGTGGCCCAAGCCCTCTCTCTTCCTCAATGCTGCAAAAGATCTCTCCCTCCTGTCTACCCAGTCAGATTTATACACAAACCAGATGAACCCCAAATACAAATCAGATCACCTTTGGTAACTACACCAAGGGAATCCGCTTTCTACTAACAAGTCAAGCTATCTTCTGTAAGTAGCTTAGAAAGCCTCACTACTCTAACTTTATTCTGTAAAACTTAAGGACAAAGAATAAAACATTAAATTGCAAGAAACATCTCATGTTCTTTTTCAGCTTAGCACACAGCTACATTCTGTCAGAAAGCTCACAAAGCTATTTCAATCCTCACCTTTGAGAGTCCCACGTTTTCACTGTAGTGCTGTGGATCACGAACTTAAAAAGTACATACATTTTACTTGCAAATCAATAATCAAGATAGCACCATACCTGCCACAATGGTTCTCTCTCTTCCCGGGGAACTCTTCGTGACTGAGCTTTCTTCGTCAGTGGTTGGATTCCTGAACAGTATCTCTGGACACAGCTTAAATCCAAGTTTGCATGACTTCTCAGCTTCTGCGAGAGAAGCATTTCTTTTTCCTTTTGAGCTGTTCTGTGATGCTTTGGGCTTTCTATGCCAGACAGGTCTGACAGGCGAGGTCTCTAATTTTGTCAGATATATGCGTTCCTGTGCCGTACGTTTAAATGCAACTCTGTTCAGGTAGTGCTTTTTCGGTTCCTTTTGAAGATGCAATTTTAACCTGTTATTTCTTCTATTTAAGTATAGCAGATTTTTATCAGGAAACACTTTCTCAGAGCACTTGTCATTGTTTTGACCATCCAGACATCTCTCTTTGTTAGATAAGTAGTTTTTAGAGATAGAAGATTGAGCCCTTTTTCTCTGTAGTTTAAGCACAGGGCGATCTGCTAATGAACTCTTTGATTTCCAGCCACTTTCTCCACTTAATTTTTTAGCTTTGTCAGTATTTATCATGCACTTAGGTGAAAGCTGCATGGAATTATTTGCTTCAGACTGTTTAAGTCTTTCCTCTTCCACCTTTGTTTTCTTAGGTTCTCTCTTCCCAATCACATTTTCCTTTCTCTTTCGTTTGTACAACTGCTCCTGTGAAGAATGAGCTTTCATACAAGATTTGTGGTTTCTTAAGTCTACAGTGCCAAAATTTGGGAACTTAATAGCATCAACACAGTAACTATCCAGCTTTTTACATTGTATTTCTGCTGATGATTTAGCTTTCTCTTCTGTGTTGATTTCTGCATCTTGCCCAAGTATCTCCTTTTGCTTCCTACAGTTCTGTTCTTCAGCTGAGTTCTCTTCACAGCTTTTACCTTTTTGTCCTTGATTAACTACAGCATCCTCAAGTTCAACAGTCTCTGACTTTATAAATTTGAGAACATCTGTTTTGGATTTCCTGGCCAAACCTGGTTTGTTTTTTTCTTTTGAAAAGGGCTCCATTTTGCAAACACTCTCTTTCTTTTTGGATGATTTTGCCATGTTATCTGCAAGACCAGCTTTCTCTGACAACTCTTCTGAGACTGACTGATGTTCATCCTTCCAGCTGCTCCATTTAGATTTCTCAACATCATGGTTTTTAGAGGAATTAAGCAGTCCATTTTTTTCCTGTTGTGTTGTAAGTGCTTTGCATTCATTATCCACCTTTAAACTAGCTGCAGAGGTGTATTTGCTAGTATCTTTTTTATATTTGCTAACATTGTTTGGGATTTTTTCAGAAATTGGCAGGTTTTCTGCTGCACAGTTGTTCTTCATTACAGCATCAGATTTACTGGTGCTTTCTTGTCTCTCTGCAGAGCTACTGTTTTCTGCTTTTGAAAGTTGATCATCATTTTCCCCTGAAGAAGATGTGTCGAATTTACAGGGGCACTGTGGCATTTTAGATGCTACAGGTGGCAAATCCATTAGAGAGCAATCTTCTTTTTTCTCTCTGGAGTTGGAGGGGGTTTGTGGGTCTTTTTTCTTCTCACATAGACTCTGACCAGGCTGAATACTGCCTTCAAGGACCTCCTCCTCAGCTGAGGCCTTTTCTGACTGTTGACTTGCTACTGTCTTGCTGTCACTAGAGGAACACTGGTTACGGTCAGGAAACAGGTTTTGCATCTGATCAGAGCTTAACCAAGAAATTTTTATCTGATCTATTGGGTCCTTCAAATGAGAATTCTTGTCACAAATTTGAGTCTCTTTTTGAGGCCGATTCTCCATCCACTCAATCACAGAATCATTTTTTACTGGTTCTTTCGTTAGCTTATCAGTACCTTCAATGCCATATGGAAACTCCTTCACTAGTTCAGACAGCTGATTGTTTAGACATTTAATAGGTTCTGCTCCAAAAATGTTCGTCTCTTTTTCTATGCTATTTTTCCTGGACATACAATTTTGTTTACTGTTGTCTCTTGGAACAGTGAAGGTGTTTGTTTCAGCAGTTACACTGATTGAGAAGTCTAGCGAATTTTGAGCTAACTCCTGGTTTATAATAGCAAGAATTTCCAAGTCATTTTCAGGATGCTTGAAAGATGCATCCAATGAGGTTTTTTGTTCAGAGGTAGAAACTGTATTAAGAGCATTGCCACTGCTATCTTTCTCCAAATGGCTAGTTTTGATACCATCCAAAATCTCATGTGCTTTACTCATGCAGCTTGATGATTCTTTCAACGTCTTTTGCAGCAAGCCCTCTCTTTGGGGAGTGTTATTGCTCAGCTCATTTTTATACAAGTCCAGCCACTGTTCTTTTTGCCTTGGGTCAGATGCATTTCCTTCTGATGAGGTACCATCTAATGCATATGTCTCAGGGACTGACCTGAAGATACTTGCTATTCGTGGATTATAAAATGTATCACCTTCAACAAGAGAACATACACTAGAAATACAAAACATCTGTTCTTCCAACATAGCTGTGGATGTATCTCCTGTGTTTAACACAGCCTGCTTGTCTTTATGGTCTCTTACACCTTCTTGAAAGATTTGACTAGAAAAATGTATTCCAGAATTAGGAAGAGAAGGCTTGTTTTGTAATCCAAGCTGCAAATTTTCTCTGGCATCTTGTGCAGATTGACTAACTTTCCTTTGGTTTTCATCATATGAATAATTTGTGCTCACGCTGGTTTTTACCATTCTGTTTCCATCAGCTAATTCGGTCTGTTGCAAATCTGAGTCCACTTTCTGTACCAGAACACAATCACTGGGTGATGAGTGAGCAGTTTCTATTGTTCCTTTATCAGTATTTACCACACTTAAACCACTTTTCCCCTTTTCTTGCAAGCTACACCTGTTTCCCGAGTCAACTACTGGATAGGTTTTACCTGCAGCTGTTGGACATTTGTCTGCCTGCTCCGTCTGTGTTCTCTGTTCAGAAAGCACTAAAGGAGAGACAACTGCAACTTGGAGTTCAAAATTTTTCATCAAATTGCAACTCAATGTATCAAGTTTTTGTCCCACAGAAGCAGTTATAGGCAAAGTTGCTTCATCTGTACTTACCAGAACATTCTTTTGTTCTCTATTTTTCGTGGTTTGGCTGTAAGGTGAAGTCTGATTTGCTGTGGGGCTTTCATTTGACTGGCTATTTTGCATGCCTACGGTCCCTGATGGATGCTTCTTCCACAAGCTCAGGCATGCATTTAGCTCTTCCACAGAGTAACTACAGTTGTTCTGTTTAGAGGATGCATTTTCAGTAGATGGTGTTTTTTCCTGAGCTACATCACCCTGAAATTTACCTTTGCTAGATTTGGTTGTTTCTGATACAGGAGAATTTTTGTGAGCCATAAATGCCTGCTTACCTTTCAAACTTTCTGCACTCTTCTCAACAGTGTCTTTTAGTAAACTTCCACCCGAGACAGATGTATCCTCCAGTGGTTTTTCACCACACAGGAGATTAGTCAGTATTTTATCAGCAGTAGCACCAGCTGTCTTCTCTTTCAATGCATTTGTGCTGCTCAATACAAACTGAAGAAATGACGACTTCTCAGCATTAGCTGACACATTCTTTGATACAATCTTGATAGACTTGTCCGCTTGACTGAAACATGAAGCATTGTTCAAGGATTCCAGAGTTTTCTGAGAAGAGACTAAGTTATCCCTTTGTTCTGAGAGGTGGGTGGTCTCAGGATTATTTAAATGAGCTGGGAGTTTGCTCTGAGAGGGAATAGGAACAGAACTTGATGAAAGGCTTCCCTGTTCCACCTGAGGGTTACATTGAGTCACCTCTAATCCTCTATGACCAGCACTGGCTAAGTTTTTGTCACTTCTTTCTTCAGTTGTAGAGTTAATTATTGGACTCTCTGTCCTCACTATTTCAGATGGGGAAGGTTGTACATTTCGGTCGGGCACCCATGGAAGACGATTAGCAAAAGCATTTTCATAACTAGGAAGACGTGTGGGAGTACTTTTGTCATGTTCTGATGCTGCCAAGAGTTTTCTTTTATAATGATACATCCTTTCAAGCAGGACACATTTTTTTTTAATAGTGAGCAGCTTTTGAGCTTCCCAAGCTAGCCTGTCCTTCGTTATTTTTCTTCTATCTACTGCTGCTGCAGAACTTTGAGAATTAACAGGCCCATTCATTAAACTGCTAGTCTGGCTTTCTTGAACTGAAGCAGGATCACTCTGTGGCTTTGAAGCAGGCACCGAAGATAATGATTCCAATTCTTGCACAATATCATTCAGTTCTTTGGAAATGCCAGGGGATGTCACAGACATTTCACTTAAAAGCTGATTTCCTGTCACATTTCCACTTGAAATACAGACATTCCTAACTGGGTGACCAACTTCTCCAGATTGCTGTTTCTGATAGTGTTGCTGAACACCATTAAAACCAGAAGTGTTTTTTGGATCTGGTGGGCACCTCTGTTGGCTAAGAGCATACCCATTAGGCACACTTTGAACTGCCTGTGGTACACCTATTGAAGATTGTGCTGCAGCTCTTGAATCACAGTTGGCAGGCAACAAAGATGGTGCAGAAAATCCACTAGGAGCTTCTGATCCCATCTGACTTGGCTGATATTGTAGCAGCTGTACATTTGCTGCAGTACTGCGATTCACCGAGTGTGAAACTTTAAACTGAGTGTTGGGATGATATATTTGGGGTTGGACATGTTGCCCAGATGTACCGAAAGACACAGAATTATTCTGGGAATGAATATTATTTTGATATAACATTGCAGTTCTCACAGAACTATGCTGCAGTATTTGTGGCTGCACAGTGTAACCGTTTGTGGTGACATACTGAGGTTCTTGTAGCATATTCCTCAGATTATTTCCAGTGTTCACTTGAGAAGACAAGGGAGGTACCTTTCTAAGGGAATAAGTATAGGCATTAGAATTTTGCCAAGAAGTCTGAGTAATCTCTGCCTGCAAACGCGATGTCTCATTGGGAGGTTTTGGAGCGATTGGTATCCAGGATGGTGCACCCTGATCAACTGAGTATTTTGAGATAAAAAAATCATTGCCAGCTCCTGGTAAGGCCTGATCCGAAGTGTTGAGTCCTTCAGCATTTACAAGAGGCAAAGCTACATTGCTAGTTTGCAGATACATCATTTGGTTATTTCCAACATAACTGCATGCATTTTTAGAGGAACAGGTATTTGTCTGAGGAAAAGCATGTGTATTAGGAAGTAACTGAGTGTAACACGCTTGTTCACTTTGTGGGTTCTTCTTTGCATCAGCATTCTGGAATGGTCTTACATTCCAGTTCATCTTTTCTTGATTTCTTTTTCTTCAGCCAAAAACCAACACACTAATAAAAAAAAAAGTAAAGCAAAACCTTAATCTTTTGATCAAAACCTATTTCACTTACCAAGAAGTGATTCTGAATGTATTATGAACAGAACGATTGAACTTAAATTGCTAGGCAGAAGAGGAGCTCCATTGGCACATCCCATGGACATCAATATTGTCAATGTCAAGTTGCACCAATTCTTTTCCAGAACACAGTTAAGGTACAAAAAGACAGAGCAGCAACTAGCAATTCTACTGGCTGTCTAATGAATAACAAAATCTTCACATTAGGCTAATTCTATTGTCATTCAACTTTTTAACTTAACAATAGATTGCTATATTCACCTTCTCATCCAAAAAGATGTAAAAAACCAATGTGTCTGTATAACACGATACAATAAGCAATGCTTAAAGACTAAGCATATAAAGCACCTACAGACCACAATACAGGTCAGAGTTTTCATAAAAGAGCACTGGACTTCAATTATACCTTCAAATGCAACAAAATAAAGGAGAAAATGAATTTAGGTTCAGTAAAGATCTCATAATAATGAGGCCCACTTCTTATTTTACATGCCATTTGCTCTTCCCTAACACTGTGGGCAGCTACTCATTTTTGAGAAACACGAGTCTGTGACTTTAGTTAGCAGTATATATAGCTACAAGAAAACCACCCCTAATTCTGTTTGGTAGCATTAACTTAACTCAGCATGAAGCATGGAGATGACATCATCACCTCTGCTACTGCACTAAACAGACCTCAAGGAGGTGACAAAGTCACAAATCTCTCACTTTTTATGGGTTGTATTCCAGAAGTTACATTGATTACCAACAAGCCCAGCTGGGTGAGTGTACTGGGTTTTCTGTAAGGGGTTTTTGGTTGTGTCTTTGGTAACTGGGGAAGGGCTATGGAGATGGCCCTTTAAGAAGCTACCTGAAAAGCTCCCCCTTTGCCTTTGTCAGACCCACCTATGACCAGGGCCAAGCCAATCAGCGCCCCCACGAATTCATGTATTTAAGGGGGGTGCAGGGCATGCCTCGCTCTCTCTCTGGCACCAGCCCTGACCAGCACAGCCCCAGGTGCAGGTGGCACAGCCCCAGCCTTGCCCAGCCTCGACCACAGCTTAAGCTTAAGCCCTGCTGCAACTTCATCCCG